AAGAGAAGGAATATGAATTGAACATAAAAATTATAGTTTACAGTTGATGGCAGGGGCTGGTTTCTTGCCCTCCTGTGTGAGATCACGTAGGCCACGTGGTGCAGTAACTCGTCCACAGGTGTTGACATGAAGGAACTCACGTGGTCACGGAGACACCGGGTGGTGTGGTATAGGGTCACAGTACCTCACTCTCGGCTAAGTAGTGTTGTGTTATGACATAACATAAGAACATAAGAAAATAAGGAGTCTGCAATAGGCCGGTTGGCCTGTGCATGGCAGCTCCTGTCGAGAGTTACTACCACTCTCTATCATCCATGAATCTCTCTAGCCTCCTTTTGAAGCTTTCCAGAGTTCCAGCACTTACTACAAAGTTGCTAAGCTTGTTCCACTCGTCCACCACCCTATTTGTGAACCAGTTTCTTCCCATCTCCCTCCTAAACCTAAAATTATCCAACTTAAATCCGTTGCTCCGAGTCCTATCCTGCTCGGATATTATAAGAACTTTATCTATATCCCCTTTATTGATTCCTTTCACCCATTTAAATACTTCTATCATATCTCCCCGCACTCTTTGTCTTTCTAGGGAATGCAAGTTAAGTTTCTTTAACCTATCTTGATATGGAAGGTTTCTAAGTCCCGGAATCATTTTCGTCATTCTTCGCTGCACCGACTCTAGTGAATTGATATCCATTCTATAAGGGCACCAGAACTGAACCGCATAATCGAGTTGCGGCCTGACTAGCTCAAGATATAGTTGCAATAAGACCTCTGCACTCTTATGACTTACACTTCTAGATATAAAACCCAATACTCTGTTTGCATTATTTCGAACATTAACTCACTGTTTTCTAGGCCGTAGGTCCGGGCTTACAAGTACCCCTAGATCTCTTTCACAAGTCAACTTCTCTAGGTTGATGTTGTTAAGGCTGTATACATTGTCAGTATTTGTTCTTCCAATATTAAGTACGCTGCACTTTCTGGTGTTGAATTTCATTTGCCATTTTTCAGACCACCTCTGCAGTTTATTTAGATCCTCCTGTAATGCATTTGCATCCTGCCCTGAATTAATCTGCCACCCTATTTTGGTGTCATCCGCAAACTTGCTTATGTCACTGCTGATACCGGTATCTAGATCGTTCATGTAGATTATGAACAAGAGTGGGGCCTAGTACTGACCCCTGGGGAACCCCACTGGTTACACGGCCCCACCCAGATTTAACACCATCTACGCTGACCCTCTGCGTTCTATCGGTGAGCCATGATTTTATCCAATTTAAAGCTTTCCCCTTGATACCATGAGCCTTAATTTTTCTCAGAAGTCTCTGATGCGGTACTCTGTCAAATGCTTTGCTAAAGTCTAAGTAAATAATATCGTAATTTTCGTCATTATCTACTACCTCGAAGACTTTCCTAAAAAACGTCAGCAGATTTGTTAGACAACATTTTCCCTTTGTAAACCCATGTTGAGAGTCGTAGATTAATTTGCTATTCTCTAGATGCGATCGGATGCTATCTGCTATAATTGATTCAAGAAATTTCCCCACTACTGACGTCAAACTGATCGGCCGGTAATTTGATGCTGATGCTCTGTCTCCCTTTTTGAATATGGGTACTACATTTGCCTGTTCCACAAGTCTGGCACAACTCCGGTGTTGTCTAATGATTTTGTAAATAAATTTACGAGGGGTCTATTGCAGACTCCTTATGTTCTTATGTGAGGATGGGTCGAGGAGAGGGACCTGAGGAATGGGCTAGAACATTGGCCGGGGCAACTTTGCAGAAGTGGGCGCCTGATAGGTCTTGACCCTCCAGTGGTCAAGGATGTAGTGTGTGTGTGTGTGTGTGACCTCTTATAAGACGAAGAGTGCGGGAAGATATGATATAAGTATTTAAGTTGGTGAAAGGAATCAATAAAGGCGATATAGATAAAGTTCTTATAATATCCGAGCAGGATAGGACTCGTAGCAACGGATATAAGTTGGTTAAGTTTAGATTTAGGAGGGAAATAGGTAGAAACTGGTTCACAAATAGCGTGGTAGACGAGTGGAACAAGCTTAGCAATTTTGTAGTAAGTGGTGGGACGCTGGAAAGTTTTAAAAGGAGGCTAAATAGATTCATGGACGATAGAGAGTGGTTGTAACTCGACAGGAGCTGCCATGCACAGGCCAACCGGCCTATTGCAGACCCCTATTTTCTTATGTTCTTTCTTATTTTCTTATGTAAATTCATCTCGTCAGAGAGGGGCGTGCCGGACTGTTTGGAGGGATGTGTATGTTCAAGTAACGGCTCCACGTGTGAGTGTAAGAGCGACTCCCGCGCCTCCAGCAGCCCAGATGTGGACGGTGGATGGGCGTGGGTGGTGGTGGTAGCCGCCTTCTTCCAGTTCTTCGTCTCCTCCGGTAAATTGAGTGACTTTTTTCCGTCGATACAGTGCTCATAATAATGTACGGTTATATCTCTTCACCAAACATCTTTATTAATGTTACTAAACAATATGTTTTTTTTATGCTATTAAAACACTTTATTATCTTAGTGTCCTTTATCGTTGAGGGTAAATGAAATATTTTAGTCATGTCAGTATTTTTTTTTATATAATTTCCACCACTTATCAGCTTACTAGCCGTTCGGGTGGTCACTTTGTTATGCCCTTTATTGTCCAGTGTTAGTACTGAAGGAACCGCGGTACAGTACACCACCCAAAATAAACCTGCCATGCTTGGTAGTGTCGCTGGTGAATTCATTTAGTTTATTCGCCAACCTGTTAATACCATTTACTGTCCAATTTTATACTAAATATTAACTTACAAACAACACTGAAGCTCAACGAAAACACAGAACTTTTAAAATGTAAGAATAGTGAAAAAAAATCCATAACATGTGATCCCTGAGGTTCTCGAAGCGCGAATACTTCTGTTTAGTAAGTACTGTAATACTATGTTATAGTGGCACCAGTATAATGCACTACGCTAATTGAAATAAACACTTATAAAACTTACAAGATGACAGTAGCTGAGGATTTTCATGTTACAGGAAGCAGTAGAAGAGTAGCTTTTAGTTGAAAATCAATACTGCTGAATAGTTTCATGTTATGAGAACTGGGCAGAAGGTTAATCTCTAAACATGAGAACAGGATGACACGGAAGTTCAAAATGATAATTATAATAATGTTTGAGGATAGTCTCTATATGTACATATTTATTGGCAAACAACTTCCAAGTACAATAAATGTGTGTGGTGATGTGTGGACTGGTCAGCTACAGTATGGTGCTCCTTCCCCACCAGGGATGTACTACTCCTTCAGTGTATTTTTCGTGGAACTGCTGCAGAGCTTCGGGGAGACGCGAGCCAAGACGGGGTGGGTATATTCTACCAACTCGGCGGTGCACATGTTCTGTGGGCCCCTGGGGGGGTGGGTCATCTCACGCTGGGGTCCCCGCACCGCCGTCATGCTTGGGGGCGTCTTCGCTGGCCTTGGCAACATCATGACCGCCTTTGCCCCAAGTCTGGATGTTGTCTTCGTTACACACGGCTTCATTAATGGTCAGTAAACTGGCAACTCTCTCTAATCTTAACTATACTTGATTTCAACGAGGCCAGACGACCATGAGTGAAGTCATTTAACTGTTGCAAATAAATAGTCGCTGTTAAGCATTCTATACACCTCAGGGTAGCGAGCTAAAAACTTGTCTTGGTCCTTGCATGGGTTTAGTTGCCACTTGTGGCAGGAGGCCGCATCCCTTGCCTTCCAACAACACTGCAAACATAGTCTATATGTAAAGGTCAGGTGGTGTAGGTTAAGAACGGGTGGCATCTTGAAGTGTACAGAGAGCTTAGCTTGATGATAATAATAATAATAATAATAATAATTTGTGCACGGTAAACCCTTGCTGTGGTAGACGTCGGCGTTAAAAGTGTTATATTGTAATTATGTTCAATGAATGTGCATGCGAGTTTCGTTGTTACAACATGTTTTTTTATACAGATTTCTAAGTCAACGTTCTGAACTGACCTTTTGTTTTTGACCCACTTTCTAATTGCCCCATTCAATAATGATAAAAATACACTAATACTAGTGATATTTATAATAATAATAATGATAGTAATCATAATGATAGTAACAACAGTAATAGTAATAATAACAGTAATAATAATAATAATAATTACAAAGGTAATTTGATTCATACATACAAGGAGAGATTATAAAAGTACAGTAATTAAATTTGTAATCATCTAAATACTGATAGTGAGGATATGTGATGTCATTATTAAATGTATAACCAAGTGGTTTGTTTTACAGCTGTTGGGACGAGCCTCAACTTCTCTGGGTGGATTGTGGGTCTGGCCAGGTTCTGGCAGCGTGGCCACGCCTTGGCCGTGGGTGTGGCTATGTCCGGCTCCGGCTTTGGGGTGTTCGTGCTGGGCCCTCTTATGGAGACTCTCGTGCAGGAATATGGCTGGCGTGGGGCAATGCTCATCTGTGCCGGCATGTCGTTTAATTTCAGCGTCTTTGGTGCTACTATATACAAGTTGAGGCGACCGTCGTTGGCAAAGGGACTTTACCGAGAAGACCAAAGACTGATGATTGTTGTGGAAGACGTAGGTAAGCCTGAGGATGGCTATGATAATACTCATACTGAAACTAGTGAGGAGAGTTTCCACAGCAGCGACATCAGTAGATCTGAGACCAGTTTGAAGAATGACCCATTGAAGGAGACGCTGGCTATGCCCTCACTGGTGGGAGCTGGCAGTGTATGGTCACTGGCACACTATGACCACGACAAACAACATAACCCACGACTACGAGGCTGGTTATCTTCCTTGAGGCGCGGCAATACACACACCACGCCCAAGTATCAACAAGGTGGAGCAGATGAAAGTGGCATGGCACGACGGCTACTGTGCTCTCCCACATTCTGGCTGCTGGAGGCGTCGTGTTTTCTAAGCTTCATGGCGACCACCACGATGTTCGCCGTCTTCCTTGACTGGACAGTGTGGTCGGGGCTAGGAGTGGCTTTCTCAGGCGCCTTGGCCGGTAGTGGTGCTGGCGACCTGTTGGGCCGCGTACTGGCCGGGGCGCTCATGGGTCGTGGGCTGCCGCCCCTTATTTTGTTTAGTGGGATACAGATCTTATTAGCCTTTACCATTGGTTGTGCGGCGATCTCCTCAACCCCCGGGCAGTTGGTGGCATCCATGGTGGGTATGGGCGTCGCTTGTGGGCTGCAGAGTGTGTTGTACGCCCTCATGCCCTCACAGCTCAGCTCTGGCGTGGGTGTTGGCCGTGTACTTGGCTACCTCCTCTTCGTGACAGGAGCGGGAGCCCTATTGGGGCCTCCTATAGCAGGCGTTATTGTGGACCAGACGGGGTCTTACGCTCCTGTGTTGATGTTGTGTGCAACAGCTCCGGCCGCTGCAGCCGTCCTCAACTTTGCAGCACACTGCACTTCCCGCACAGCCAAATCTCCACTAAAATCACCACCTCCACAACCTTACGACACCATTTGAATAAACGCTTGTGTTACTTCACTTGTTTTTATCGTTGGTTATTAACATTGCTAAGCTACATCCTGATGACTGATTGTAATTGACAGTTGTGACAGATTATTGACGAATGATAATTAATGACAAAGTATTTGTGTGTATGTGCAGATCACTGATATCGTCAGTTTTGTTTTTTAAATGTTGGCAGTTATGAAAGATTTTATTGCAAAATTGGAGTACTTCACAGTTTTATTTTTGTAACAAAAGATTAAATAACATTTAGAGAAAGGATAAACAGTTTTGACTAACCATGAGGAAATTAAACCAAATATTTTCATGAATTCGCAAGAAATTGTTTCCAACCTATTTTCAGGCCAGTGTTAAATGTGTATACATTACTGTATTTCATTTGTTATTGTTTTCAGGTATTTGTTTTGAAGTCCAGGTCCTTTTTTCCTGCAATATATATAGCTTTAGTGACGCCCTTTTCTCACCGCCTTATTAAACTATTCTTACACATTAATATTAAGTGGTGGCAGCTCCCACTAGTGGCTCACACAACAACTACGACAACAATCTTTTCCAGAAAACGACAAACAACAAAACATATCTGGTCATAAATGCGGTGGTAACAATAACTCTCCGTATAGTGGAGTGATAAAGCTAACCTCTAACATTGTCGTTATCTCAGAGACAATAGATAATGCTCTAGACTCGATCAAATTAGTGTATTAATCAAAACAACTGTAAATTACACTAGAACAGCCCAAATAAAGTACCCTGTAACTCATTGAATATTGTATATAACTTGAGGCCATCTGTGTCTGCACTGTTTACGCTATTTGTCAAGTTGAAGTCGAGTGCTTATTACAGTTACAAAATGAAGTGAGGAATCTCAATATTTGCAAGATGAATTATGGATAAAAAGAATCTACACAAGGAGGTAGTGTAGCTGGCACTGCACTCGATCGCCTCCTTTTCCCCAACAGTAAAGTGGTAAACTGGGGGTTCGCCAAGTACGAATCAACGACACTTTGAACTTGTGGAGAATGCTTTATCCAATCTGCCACCGCACCCCTATTCCTGAGGTATACACGACTGTCATACTTGAAATCTCCACAATCTCCTGACAGGGAAAATGCTGATCCCTTTTCTGTGATCAGTCTAAAGTCCCAAAACTGTATCAGCTGATAACTTCTGTATATAAACGCCACGGTGTGTGCTGCTGACTGGAGATGAGCATGCATCCTTCAAGTGCTCCGAAGATGGAATTTGAAGTTGGTTGGTTACCCACCCCCAAAAGTGGAACCACCTCAATAAAAACCTGTCTAATGTAATTAGTGTAGTGTGATATTGTGTGTATATATATATATATATATATATATATATATATATATATATATATATATATATATATATATATATATATATATATATATATAATTTTTTTTTTTTTTCATTTAGTCCATATAGCGTTCCCTGGTCACACGCAATAGGTCGAGGGTTCGAGTCCTGGCTGGTGAGGTCGTTGATTATATGTTGAAAGTCAGCATGCTACATGGACTAAATGAAATATATATATATATATATATATATATATGTATATGTATGTATGTGTATATATACAGTATATATATATGTATGTGTATATATACAGTATATATATACAGTATATATATATATATATATATATATATATATATATATATATATATATATATATATATATATATATATATATATATATATATATATATATACTGAAGAAAACCGGCCGACAAGACGTACGTCTACATTAAACCAAATCCAATGAGAATCTGGGTTTAAAAACCGAGTGCCCTCTTGCTGGGGCACGAACTCAGTTTTCAGTCTGTCAGAACAGTTTCATCTATAACATCACACTTTCATGCCACTGTGATTTGTTCATGCTGGATGGATGGTAGATTTGTGGCTGAACCAGGGACTGGCTAAAAGAGAATATGAGTTTTGCGTACACTCGGAAACCATAATCTCTAGCCCACCTGGGTCGGTGCTCGAGGTTAGTACAGTGTCCTTTCTGGACGGGGGCCCACTCTAACTATCACGAGGCAACACACGCACGAACACACACAGTCATAGTACTGCTGTATAGATGATATTATGTATAAATATTGTATATGGCATTTTATACTCTGCATTATCTTCATTATATATGAACACAAAGAAATATTACCATAGGCTGTAGTTACGAAAGTATGAATGGAAATAAACATTTCCAAACCACCCAGTGACTCCACACAACGTTTACAGAGCTTGTGTGTGTGTGCCAGACCACGATGCTTCCACCACACCCCATCTATATCTTTTATTTTCCCATCATTCGCCTAACTATATGAAAAATCGTGTTTAATTTAACAATATATTTCAAAAACCTTAAATTTCATGTGGATCAGTCACGCCTCATTTGACACACTTATAGTGTAATACTTTGACCATCCCACCTGGGCACATGGAGGCCCACGGTAACTCTCACGGGGCAACATACGCACGAACACACAAGTTATGATATGAACTAGTCATAGTATCAATACATGACAGTGTTATCAGTATAATATTGTAACTTTTGCCCTACAGTTATTGTTGTAAATCATGGACAGGAAGGATACAAAAATTGTAATATCAAGTGTATGGTTCGCTCAAAGCCTCCCCAAGTCAGACAACGCGTCACATAAAGTTACACTGTGTGTTTGTGTGTGTGTGTGTGTGTGTGTGTGTTCTGTAACATTGCTTCATCCTTAGTAGGTAAGTGTAGTATCTTGCGTTATTTAATGGGAGAATGACAAGCACATGGTCAGTCTGGCTGGGCGTTTATTCTCTGTTCATGGTTACTACGTGCCAAACACATTTCGTGTTTACACAAGCCTAAACACTTTCTGACTTTGGTAAGAAGTAACATAATATATAATATATATATATATTCAATAAAGGCAGCATATAAACATACATATATATAACACTATTTCTCCCTTTCGAAAGAGAGCATGGCTGCTACAAATCCTAAATAAACAAAACTTACAGAATTACATATGGCAGGGAAGAAGGGTGTAGGGTTTCGTAATATAATGTTGTCTAGCACTCAGGATGGATGGAAACTCTAAGGTGGTTTTCTTGTATAATATAAGTTATATGGTAGACAGTCTGGTGCTGGAGGTGCCGTGTGGTGAGGGGCTGCTCAGTAGAGACGTTCGGTGAGTAGCGTGTTGAAGGAGGTAGATGTACAGGAGCTTCGTTAGAGAAGATGTTGCCTGTTGCTGGCCTCCTGGTTGAATGAAAACTGGACAGCGAGGAGCTTGCTGGGAGGAGGTGTTGCGTGTTCAGGAACCGAGAGCAGAATAAGAGCTGGTTGGTGAGGAAGCTCAGAGAAGGACAGCTGGTGGGTCGCCATGCTCGCTGGCGGGAGCGAGGACCGCCAGGCAGCGGTGGAGGAGGTGTTGCTTGTTCAGGAAGAGAGGCAGAATGAATCTCAATGGAGAGACAGAGCTTATATACCCAGCAGCCGTGAGTCAGCCGTGAGTCATGTAGGGAAAACCCGAGAAGTAGCCGGTCTTTTGACTCAGTTGCTAGGATACGGTGGCATCTGGTGACGCCCCCGCTTGGGCCGCTAGTTTGGTTGCTAGGGAAGATAGTAGCAGCTGGTGGCTGCGGCTACGCAGTTGTAGGCAGTTGTGGTGACGTCCACTACAATACTCCCCCTTCCCTCCAGGCAGTGTAGGAGACTTGTTGTCTGTAGAGTTGCTTAGCACATGTGAGGCAGAATGGGCGGTGCATGCCTCATGTGAGACAACGGCGATGGCGTGAATGAGCCGATCGCTGAATACAACTGTCTAGATACACACTATCTGTGGGAGAAGGAAGAAAAAGGGTGTGTGGAGGCGATGAATGTTGTGCTTCCCTCACGACAGGTACAGGGTCGTCAGATGCGCCTGCTGGGGTGTGTGTGGGCCTGGTTCAGGAGCAGGGGCTGCGTCAGCAGAAGCGGATTAGGGCTCGTGACAGCAGCTGGGTCCACGACAGCAGCAGGGTGCAGGACATTAGCAGGGAGTACCTGAGGGAGAGAAGAGGGG